GTCATTCACGCATGCGTGCGTGCGCGCGCACGAGTTACGTGGACGAGGAGCCAATGAGCGCTCGAAGAGCCGATTTATGAATGGGAGGAGTTCTCATTCATAACTTGGTATGCGGCTGACTTCACGAAGGCAAAGCGCGAACCACTAAGATTCGCACAAGCGGTCATTATATATCATGTTGCCGTAACATTGATAATAATATTCGACCATTACAATTAGACAAACAAACATAAAATGCGAGACGTCTCTCGAGGCGGTGCACGTTTGTACACAGATTTGGTCCGGACGAACATAACTGAAATATGGGAATTCACATCCATATCAGATTTTGGTACCATTTAAAAACACGCTTATGGTTCTGAGAATTCCTTTCGTCAGAAAGCGGTTAACAGGCAAGCTTGCAGCTCCCGAAATACATTAATTTAGAACCGTCCAGCAGTTCTGAAATTAATTTCGCACGGCGGCGAAGCAAAGAGGTTAAACGTTAGGCAGCTAATCTAACAGTTTGAAACCACGGGAGAAATAGTCTAGAGGTTTTCTAGCTATAAAGGCCTTTTAAACGGACAGGTTTGGGGTTTCCAAACTGTCTTACAAGCGCTGAGAGAGGTGTCTTTTCCTCCGACAGGCACACTAATATATTTAAATGATTTGCAGAACGTGCGTCTCAGCAAAATCGATTTAAAATATATATGAACTGCAGTTTAAATTGTTACACTCTACACGGGCAGCTCTCTGCTGTGTTTAGTGAACAGAATGGCTGAAGGAGGCTTTTCGTCCTTCCAGTTTTGAAGGAAAGGAAATGCTTCTCGCGGTCCTTTTTTCTATATCGCGCTTAATAAATCACCATGAATTGAAAAGTTTGTTTCAGAGAAAATGTTTGAAACTCTGCCTGCATTCTCCACCAATATATGTAGCATGAAATTAGCTCATTTTATGAATATTAATAATCAACAATAACGGTTTATTCTTAATTATTAATATTCCGGCTTAAGCTTCAGTCAGCTTGGTCAAACCAACACATGATTGTAAATGATCATGCTCGCGCGACCGAGCGGATTCCCAGATTATGAATATTAATTATCAACAATAACGAATTATTGTTAATCATTAATATTCCGGATCAATTTATTGTCAATTTGACCAAACGAACACAAGCAGAGCCGCCGCTCTTCCGAGCGGACACTGTAACCTATTCATTTAGAAAAAGGGAATTTAATTGCTACTTCTTGTGAAGTAGATTAATCATTCAAAAGTTTTAAACAACTTATAATAGCTAGGCAGGGGAATCTGTATTTCAGTGACATTTTCTCGTGAGGCAAACAATACAATTCATTTGATTATAATGGAATTTATTGACTAGTCAGACGTGACGAACAAACAAACGCACAAACATACATTAAACACAAAACAAAGGTAAACCACGTGGAGATATCGGGTCTAAAGAACGTGTAACAGCAAAGAGAAATAGTAAAGCTAGAGGATATAGATTTCAGATTAAAGAGTGACAAAACTTTCAGTTCCACACGCACCATTACGGACCACCAAGGTTATAAAAAACACCTTTTTGATAACAGGGGCACAGCTTAATCGCATAACTAAAATCACCTGGTCTTTCATGTCTGGCGGTCTCTCTTATGCGTCTCTCTTCCGTCGTGATGAAACTACTCTTGATGTCCTTTGATGCGTGGAGTTTGTAATGCGGTTCGGACGAACACGATCGCAAACTTTAAACTGAATTTACTTTGCCGGAAAATAAAGAAAACGTGGCGGGAAAGTCCATGCGGCTGTGAAGAGCCGTGTGGCCCTTAAAGGGACCACCGTCAATGATGTTCCTTTTTGGGACGTTCTCTTTCTGCCCAGATGTTTGGGAGGGCAGAATGAGTTATACCTGCGGGTCACGTGACGACCCGTACAGCATTAAGACCAATGATTTCTGGGGAAAGTTTGCGCGCGAACCCTTTCTTTGTCTCAAGGTCCCTCGTATGCAAATTTGAGTGTCCGCCCAAAGCATGCGGACAGGCATTTAATACAGGGGATTAAAGAATAAGGCAATGCTAGTTATGATTTTTCTCTATGCATCATGTGCTGTAAAATGTCAGCAGAAACCCATCGGTACCAAACATGGGGGTTTTAAAAGTACATCGACATAATTTTTCATATCCTTACAATATTTATGCTTTACAAAGGCCTAAATGGAACATGCATACAGGTTATAAGAGAGGTTACACAGGTAAGAAAAGTCAGAAATTAGATACAAAGTTTACAAAACATAACACATTGGTTTTGTGCTGGTTCTGGATTTGATGAGTTCATTTTCTTTCTGTCGGAACAGCCTCGTGGGTGTGTGTGTGCGTGTGTGAGCGTATTTGGGCAGGAATGTCTTTGAAGCTTTCCTGCTTATCTTTCCAGTTCCCCTGAACAACTTAAGCTGTCACGAAAATCCAGACTTCTTGGAGCCAGGAGTCGTAAAACCTTCTGACCAAAGCCAGACCGTGATAAAATCAATAAGAAATTTAATCTGTGGACTGTACGCTACATAATGTTTGCAATTTCTTTTTTTGTCAGATTTCTAAATGTTTGCTTGCTGACAGTGAAACCATGGATGAACAGTTTCAGGTCATTTTAAGATTTTGATTAATACACTGACCCCATCTTAAAGCTTTACTTAGGGTCACTAGAAAGATCTGGTAAAAACAACAGTTCCAGATTGGTTGATTCATTTATTTTCTTGTCGCCTTATTCCTTTTATTAATCCGGGGTCGCCACAGTGGAATGAACCGCCAACTTATCCAGCAAGTTTTTACGCAGCGGATGCCCTTTCAGCCGCAACCCATCTCTGGGAAACATCCACACACACATTCACACACACACTCATACACTACGGACAATTTAGCCTACCCAATTTACCTGTACCGCATGTCTTTGGACTGTGGGAAAAAACCGAAGCACCGGAGGAAACCCACGCAAAGGCAGGGAGAACATGCAAACTCCACACAGAAACGCCAACTGAGCCGAGGTTCGAACCAGTGACCTTCTTGCTGTGAGGCAACAGCACAACCTACTGCGCCACTGCCTCGCCTCAGATCGGTTCAGTATCATTGAAATCTTTTAAACAGTCGCGTGCATCACAACAGCTTTTGGCGCAAGTGATCATCCTATCATTCGGTATTCACAGAAATTATTTAAAGAATAAACTTACAAAGGAAACTTAGGAAATGTAGCCTTGCAGATGATCGCAGGAAAAAAAAGGCAGTATTTCACTGTAACCCCTGGCCTTCTTCTTGATATCAGTGGAGACTGACAGACGCAGGATTATTTCTTGGTGCAGTTTTGTAGCGTTTTAATACATATTTGTGAAGTTGAAGGCTACATCTTCACCGTCGTTTGTCGGCATGACACAGACCAACATTACTCGCATTACTGAGCAAACTCGGAGCACTTCTTACCTACTTTGCCACTGGTCCTTTACCACTATTGTTTTCAAATCTGGAAATTTACATATGAACAGCGTGCTCACTGAGAGGCAGGATCACGTTGCTGTAATGAGGCGATATAGGAGAATCACTTACTTTACAGTACTTACTTTTATACGTATTGCATAAAAAGAGATTATTTGTTTACAACTTGAATTGGTTAATACAAAAGTAGACATATCAAGGTTTATATAGATGTCATAAATCATCATCTTTGATGAGTATTTGCCGAGTTTCCTTTCATTTTTAATCACAGTCTGCATGCATCTTCAGAAGCTTGTAATAACAATGCCTCGTGGGCGTGGTCGCATTAAAACTAATGAGATCAGACTGAGAAACTAGACATATCGTTGGTTTCATACTGATAACTTCATCAAGTAATGTTTAAATGCATAGCTGCATTTAAAACTAGACCCATCAAGCTTTCTAGAGATACATGTCTCATCTTTGTGCGTTTTGTTTTCACAGAGTTTCAGCGCATCTTTTAGATGCACTTCTAAAAGCAGTTCGCGGAGAGAGAAAAGAGAGATTGCCTACAACAGTGGTTCTCAAACTGTGGTACGTGTACCACTAGTGGTACGCGGGCTTCCTTCTAGTGGTACACGGAGGAATGAAATATGTCATATACATGCTACATATAATTCAAAATTTATTAAAAATGATGTATATAATATGCTATATATTATATATAGGCTATATTTCTGAGGTAATCTGCCAGGTTTTTTAACTGTGCAGAGTTTTAGCTGCTTTACTGGTCCAACTACGCTACGGTATTTCAATGCAGCTCATTTTGGTGGTACTTGGAGAGAAAATGTTTTTCTAAGGTGGTACTCGATAGAAAAAAGTTTGAGAACCACTGGCCTACACTGTTTGTTTTCCTTATTTTGCAAAAGCACACAGGTTTGTTGTTGTTGTTGTGAGTGTACACAACAAAAAGTAGACACATAACAGATTCGATTGATGTATTGATCTTATCTGTACGATCAAAACTGAAAGTGTAATTTAAGTTCATTTCAGCAGTTTGACGACACCACAGGTCAAAACGCGTATACGCGGTCTTCGACCCCAGAGGGTTAAAGCCATCAGCTTCTGGTTGTCTCTGTATCTGGTTAGTCTAACGCCCCATTCACACGGGGCGTCAGAGTCAACGCTTCCCATTCACTTTGAATGGGTGACGTCGGGCGTTGCCGAACTGCATTGTGGATCCGTCGGCGCCGCTTTGGAAGCTTTGCACGCTGCAGAAGTTGGGACTAGCTCAACTTTTCAATCGCCGATGGAAGCGTCAGCCAATCAGATCGCTGTATGCAAATACACCAGCTCAGACAGTGGCCTATTGCTGACTGAATTTCATTGGCTGATGCTTCTATGACGATCGCTTCAGCCCCAACTTCAGACACGCCTTCAGTCAAGCGTTGACGCTGAAGCCCCGTGTGAATGGGGCGTAAGGCTTTTCTCTGCTTTAGGACTGACAAGCTCTCTAAACTCAATCATGTCAATCAGAGGTTTAAAATTGAATAGATGAGTTACTTCAAGATAAACGCGGTGCGATGGATCCACTATTTTTTTCACACCTGTAGTCTTCCACTCTCCTCGATCACCGCCAACCAAAGTCACATCATCAGAAATGTCAAGTTTGAGTGAACAACCTGGATTAAAAACAAAAGGACATTAAAAAATGACCTAAAGAAAATGACGTAATAATAATGTCTGTCTAAAAACAAATAGCTTCAGTCTGCTTTACAATTAATTTGGGTATTTCAGTCTTACCTTTCTCTGTCCATCCATTGATGGCCACAGGACAGGATCCTGATACAAAAGGATAGGTGAACAGGTTGATTTCACAGCTCACCGTCGTGAACAATATAAGTGCATGGTCCACGACGCCATCCCTGCTCACCTGAACATCATGCGTGTAGGGCTCCACTGTTGTGTCTATTCTGAGGGCACATATTGTGAGAAATTATGATACTAAGAAACAGAGTCTAATTTTTAGCAATTACTCTGTAGATTGTTTTTAAATATAAAAAATATATATATTTTTTATGTATATTTCCTACTTTTCATCCTTGTAAAGGATGAAATCAGCATGGCATGAACATTTCCCAGATTATCAAAATTCATTTGTAGGCAGTTGATCCTTTTCATATCTGAAACATCCTTCCTAGTCGAGTTTCAGAGGCAGATACACTTTGCTAATTTAAATTTAGACTAAAAACTTCTAAAGAGCAGTGGTCACCAACCCTCTTCCTGAAGATCTACCTTCCTGCAAAATTCAGTTGCGACCCTGATCACACACGCCTGTCTGAAATGATCAATGCTGCTTCAGGTTCTAATTAATTGGTTTAGTTGTGTTTGATCGGAGTTGTACCTGAACTCTGCAAGAAGGTAGATGACCAAGAACAGGGTTGCGGACCTCCAGTCATTGTTAGGCTGCATTAATCAAGACAACCAAAGCAAAGAACACTTCACAAAAAGACACTGCCAATTTGAATGGTATTTATGCTCATGTTAGTCCGTCTGTTTCTCCTTATCAAGAGGTTCATATAAAAGGTATGGTGGTGGCATACTTTAACACATCCACACATAATCAGAGAGGACATAGATTAGTTAAGAGCACAAGACCTCGGTGGCATATCAATATGTGTATAGATTCCTTTATCTACTCCTAACACGTTTCCCAACAACAGACCTCATCATTCTCAAGCTTCTGATGTCAAGACTGCAGCTCTGGACCTTTAAGTTTGGCATATGAGAACTGGTCCCCAGATTGACACTTCACTTTTCAACCCATAGCCTTCCATTTATATGCATGCGATTGCACCAGACCAGGGGCCTCATGTATCAACGCTGCGTACGCACAAAAACTTTGCGTACGCCAGGTTTCACGCTCAGAATCGCTCACGTTTGGATTTACTAACAATGAACTGAACGTGGGAATGTGCGCAGCTTCACGGCAGCTTTCTGGCAGGCGTACGCACATTTTTTGTGCGTGTCTGTTTTATTTCCATTGGTGACTCCTAGAGGCAGTTGTGTTAAATTCTTCTCTACAAAGTGACTGAGCCTTGCAATGGCAGCTGTATGAGACGGGTTCATCGATCTAGCAGGTAAATAAGATTTCCATACCATACAGTTGAGCAGCTAAACATTAAAGCACAATTTGCAGCGGTCGCCTGTTTTCCCAATGTAATCTGAGCTATCTACTGCACGCACATTGCTATAAAGGCACTATCTGAAGATGAATTTGCATACGTGAATCAGAAACATTTCCATTCAATAAATGTGCAAATAAAATATGATGCACAAACTTATTGATGATTCCTACTTGTCTTTCTCGTGATAAATAGAAGGCAAAATCTGATATGTAGCGGGGGAAAAAAGAAGAAAGAGTTAATCAGACGCTGGATTCGAGCCGAGTTCATGCTCGAACGTGTCAAAACATGATGACATGCGTCTTACGAGCTGCGCCACTGAGACTGTTGCGAGTGCTGCAACATTTTACAGATATAAACCACACTATTTCTTTTTTTAATGCACTCAGTGCGATGTTCAGACCCAACTGTGTTAACCGCATCAGCTAAACTCTCCCACTCTATTTTTTTTCTTTTGTTGTTAATTCCGGAGAACAAACTTGCAAATAACACCGCTTTTCTCCTGTCTGCCTCCGAAAGGAGCACCACCAATTCACATTCTGTTCAAAGTTTCTCTTCTTGCTTGCTTTTGCCGTTGCTTTTTTCGTTGGGTTTTGCCAAAGTAGAGTCATTAGCATATTCATACGGGGGAGGAGGCAGGGAGGGGTTTTGCGCTCGTGCATGTTGCGCTCAGTTTCACGTTCATTCAGATGTACAAAAGAATATGCGTGAGATTCGGCGTACGCAGTGTTTCATACATCTGAATTTTTTTCTGCGTACGCACATTTACAGCTTTGTGCGTACGCAATGTTTTAGTAAGATTTCCACGCAAGTCTTCGTACATGAGGCCCCAGAAACGCAAGCTTGTGCGACAAGTTTCACAGTTCGCTTGGAAAGTTTAAGCTTTGACCTGCGAAATCGCATCACGTGATTCCATGAGACCAATCGAAGATCAAAACATAATGTCCTCTGTGGCATACGATTCTGTGTATAGATTCCTTCATCTAGTCTTAACACGCTTCCCAACAACAGTTGCTCATCATTCTTGATCCTCTGATGTCATGACTGCAGCTCTGGACCTTCAGGTTTGGCATGGGAGAACTGGTCCCCAGACTGACTCTTCACTTTTCGACCCATAGACTACCATTCATATGCATCCGAACGCATTAAACCAGAAACGCAAGCTTGTGTGACAAGTTTAACAGTTCGCTTTGTTAGAAAGTTCAAGCTTGATGAACTCTGACCTGCAAAATCACATCACGTGATTCCGTGAGACCAATTGAAGATCAAAACATGACCTCCTCGGTGACATACAAATCTGTGTTTAGATTCCTTTATCTAGTCTTAATACAACAACAGGCACTCATCTTCTCAAGCCTCTGACCAATTGAAGATCCAAACATGACCTCTCTGTACAGAAATTGAAAACATGGACCAATCACTCACTTTTTTTAAATATCTAATCATCTTTTTAATCTTACCCCTTTTCACAGTGCCATGCAACAGAATTTCGCATGCTCAAACTGTTGTGTGACCACGACACAAGCCTACTTTCTCCCAAGAAAGTTTAATTTCCACTTTTGGTAATTAGTGGTTTTAATTCTTGCCACTGTTGCTTCTATCTAGCTTGGTTGGGGTTAGTGAAGCTGCCCTTTAGTGGATAATCTTTTACAATTGTATGAAACTAAACTGATTCAAGTTTTAATCTTTAATCACACCAGCGTATAACAACAACTCTTCTGCCTGTCTGATATCCTGGAGTGTTTCAAAATCTGATTTATTATGTTTTCTTCATCTACGTAAAGCTGCTTTAACACAATCTACATTGTAGACATGCTATAGAAATAAAAATGACTTTACCTGACTTGACTTAATAGCCATCTCCGAAAATACTTCTACCTATAAATCACCAAGGACCACTAAGTGTCTACTTGCCAAAAACGTTCACACCAGTTCTTTCTTCAATCCCAATTTTTAAGTGTATTCGAGCCTTACTGCAACATTCAATTTTAACACTTAGGCCGTACTCACACTAGGTACAGTTGCGTCGAACCGGGTCAAAGCACGCTTGTCCCCCCTCCCGTCTCCCCCAACGGCCCGCGCTCACACCACAAACGGGCTTCGGCACGCTTACGTCATCGCTGCTGCGCTGTTCAGTGAGAAGCGCTCTCTCACTCAGCAGCACAGTGGAGATTTCTCTAGTTATATCGTTTCAGTCGTTTGATATGCCATCAAATATTTCGCCAAACAGTCCTTAGGGATGCGGGGACACGCAGTCAGATATTTCGTCGAACAGATCCGCCACTTTTGGCGCTCATAATCAATCATAAAGCTCTTGTGCTGCAGGAATGAGGAGGTCTGCTGAAGGCGAGCAGCTGTCGTGCAGTGAGGGGTTTGCGTCTCTAATAAACTACGGCAGTTTGCGTTCACTGAACAGTAAGAATTATTAATAAATCCATATGAAACAGTTCCTTAAAAGTCACGTCTCGCTTTCAGTTTCGGGTTTCCCAAGTGAACCGGGCTCAGGCACACCTCTTCCAACCGGGCCAGGGCCGGCCAAGTGAACCGTGCTTGAGCCCGATTCAGCGCACTCACACTTCTCAAATGATCCGGGAAACGAGCCTGGGCATAGTACGGATAGCATAGTGTGAGTAGGCCCTTACAAACATTTTGGGAATATTATGTTTAAATGTTCTATAAGCATACCCAAACAAGTGGTAATATTTGCAAAATGTCTAATGATTGAGCCAATAAAATAAATAAAAAACATTCCACTAGTGGTCATAGTTTTAGTTTTAACATGTTAGCCAAGGCTAATAAAGACTAGATACAAACTACTGTAAAAGAAATATGTTATCGAGTGTTACTGGAAGGACAGGGCGAAGCAGTGGCGGAGGAAGGTAGTGCTGTCGCCTCACAGCAAGAAGGTCGCTGGGTTGCTGGTTCGAGCCTTGGCTCAGTTGGCGTTTCTGTGTGGAGTTTGCATGTTCTCCCTGCGTTCGCGTGGGTTTCCTCCGGGTGCTCCGGTTTCCCCCACAGTCCAAAGACATGCGGTACAGGTGAATTGGGCAGGCTAAATTGTCCGCAGTGTATGAGTGTGTTTGTGTGAATGTGTGTGTGGATGTTTCCCAGAAATGGGTTGCGGCTGGAAGGGCATCCGATGCGTAAAAACTTGCTGGATAAGTTGGCGGTTCATTCCGCTGTGGCGACCCCGGATAAATAAAGGGACAAAGCCGACAAGAAAATGAATGAATGAACTGGAAGGACAATTGTTGATGCTTTATGCCCCCAAAAAGTTTTTCAGCGTTTTATTTTAACAATACCAGAAGAACAGTAAGTGATCAATTTCAGCTACTGACTTTCTTTCTCCAAACTTATCATTAATATGGGTAGAATATATGTGCCATAAATCAGCTTTAGAAATAAGCTCAACTCACGCATTGTCCAAAACTAGCCGTGGAGTCCAGATTTTATCAACAGGCAAAATAATTGTTGGATATCTAGCTTTCTCCTGCATCCATCCGAGATCAGGATCCTTCCATTCCTGTGGAGGAGAAGATTGAAACAGCCTTTACTTTTATTGTGTGAAGATTATTGTAATGAATTTTGTTCAGCACTTTCAGAAAGTGGCTAATTCGACCCCCAGCTGAACCCGTTAGCATTTCTGTGTGGAGTTTGCATCTTCTCCCCATTTTCGAGTGGGTTTCCTCTGGGTGCTCTGGTTTCCCCCACAGTCCAAAGACATGTGGTACAGGTGAATTGGGTAGGCTAAATTGTCCATAGTGTATGAGTGTGTGTGAACCTGTGTGTGGATGTTGCCCAGACATGGGTTGCAGCTGAAAGAGCACCCACTGTGTGAAACATATGTTGGATTAGTTGGCGGTTCATTCCGCTGTGGTGACCCCTGATAAATAAAGGGACTAAGCCGTATGAATGAATGAATATTGTGTTTCTATTGCTTTTTCTGTAATTGTGCAATCAGATCACCATTATTCTGGTGGTTCTTTCTGAATTGTAAGTTGCTAAGTTGTGATGTTCGTCTTTTATATAACTCATAATACAATAATTATTACATTCAGAAGAATGTTATTATACAGGATAAAATTTAGCATAACTGTACTCCTGTTCCTATGATGAAGCTTTAAGAATATTTGTGTCTTAATTCATATCTAAATCTTGACTACTCACCAGGTTTACCTTGATACGACTGGTCATTTGCATCTCCTTTGTGTTCTAAAACATAAGATACATTGGAGTTGTATTACTATTAGTGCTGTTCAAACAAAGCAGATGTTAAAGAAGACAAAAAGTCACACTTACAAAAGACATAGTTTCATATTGTATGGAAGTGATGTTTACTAAGATGGTACAGTTATCGTTCAGTGGTCCACTGAACAGCTCTTTTTTGACCATAACATTTGCCATACAGCGCCGGTCACAGAAAGTGTCTGTGGAGTTACCATTTGCCAACACTGCAGGACCAAATAAAAACATAAAAGAAATGAATGACAGAGAATATGCTTCAAGTAAATGTTTCAAACATGCAAAGTTGAAAATGGAAGAACAGCTTATGATTTTGCAGCTTATGAATTTGATCATATGTTTAGAATGGCAGATGAGATCAAATCTGACTCACAGGCAAAGTAACAAGACGTTCTCTATTTCATTAATTCTGTTTATTTTTTTTAAATAATTAAATATCACAATTTTGCATGCTGATAATATGGTTTTTGCTTAGCATTTTTCTGAATAAAAATTTAAGCATCTTTACTAAAGGTTTATTTTTATTCATTCAACAACAACAACAACTACTACTACTACTACTACTACTACTACAACAAATCAAGCCACAAAAAGAAATGTAACTTTGTAAGTATAACTTTTTTATCTGTATGTGAATTATAATAACATTATTTAAACTAGACAGTAAAGTTTGTCAAGACAAATTTTAATGTTGGCTTGACAAAGACTTGGCAATATTCTATTTAGTTTAAATCAGTTTGAAAAAGGATAGATAGATAGATAGATAGATAGACAGACAGACAGACAGACAGACAGACAGACAGACAGACAGACAGACAGACAGACAGACAGACAGACAGACAGACAGATAGATAGATAGATAGATAGATAGATAGATAGATAGATAGATAGATAGATAGATAGATAGATAGACAGACAGAGGTAGATTGGTGGAAAGATGATAGATAGATGGATGGATGGATGGATGGATGGACGGACGGACGGACAGACGATAGATAGATAGATAGACAGACAGACAGACAGACAGACAGACAGACAGACAGACAGACAGACAGATAGATAGATAGATAGATAGATAGATAGATAGATAGATAGATAGATAGATAGACAGACAGACAGTGGTAGATTGATGGAAAGATGATGGATGGATGGATGGATGGATGGATAGATAGATAGATAAATAGATAGATAGACAGACAGACAATAGATAGATAGATAGATAGATAGATAGATAGATAGATAGATAGATAGATAGATAGATAGATAGATAGATAGATAGATAGATAGATAGATAGATAGACAGACAGTGGTAGATTGATGGAAAGATGATAGATAGATGGATGGATGGATGGATGGATGGATGGACAGACAGACAGACAGACAGACAAGTAAATTGATGGATAGATAATAGATAGATAGATAGATAGATAGATAGATAGATAGATAGATAGACAGACAGACAGACAGACAGACAGACAGACAGACAGACAGACAGACAGACAGACAGACAGACAGACAGACGATAGATAGATAGATAGATAGATAGATAGATAGATAGATAGATAGATAGATAGATAGATAGATAGATAGATAGATAGATAGATAGATAGATAGATAGATAGATAGATAGATAGATAGATAGATAGATAGAAAAGGAGAGATAGACAGACAGGCAGACAAAAATATTTGAAAATGGATAGACAGACAGACAAATACATAGACAGTTTGAAACAGTTTAAAAAAGGACGGACAGACAGACAGACAGATAGATTAGATAGATTGGATAGATGAATAGGCAGGCAGGCAGACAGACAAAAACAATAGAAAGATAGATAGATAGATAGATAGATAGATAGATAGATAGATAGATAGATAGATAGATAGATAGATAGATAGATAGATAGATAGATAGATAGATAGATAGATAGATAGATAGATAGATAGATAGAGGTAGATTGATGGAAAGATGATAGATAGATGGATGGATGGATGGATGGATGGATGGATGGATGGATGGATGGATGGATGGATGGATAGATGGACAGACAGACAGACAGAGGTAAATTGATAGATAGATAATAGATAGACAGACAGACAGACAGACAGACAGACAGACAGACAGACAGACAGACAGACAGACAGACAGACAGACAGACAGACAGACAGATAGATAGATAGATAGATAGATAGATAGATAGATAGATAGATAGATAGATAGATAGATAGATAGATGTTAAATCTCAGCCATTGCAAGCCATGACAAGCCAGCTCAATTACAGTAAAGAGTGCATGTACAATATTTAAGATGGTGAAATTATTTACCTAGTGGAGAGAAACAAAAGAGCAGCAATGAGAATGACAAGTATTGAAGAATCATCTCTGCTCCTTTAAAAAGAAAAAAGAAGAAGAAGCAATTATGTATTGTAATAATACTGTAATCACATTACTGTTTGCCTTAAATTTTTAAGTTAGATTAAATTGATCTCATGGGTCACTTGTCACATTGACTTAAAACGTGTATTGAAAAAGTAAATAAGTATGCATATATATATATATATATATATATAGCCATTTAAAATGTGTATATGCCATCTTAAGTATATAAATCTGAACAACATTTACCTTTGCTAGCAGATGCTGAAAAGAATCACCAAATTCACAGGTGCGGTTCCACAAACTGCCTTTGTGCCTTTTCTCTTGACCTCTTTTAAATAGTCACAGCTCTTTAAAAACCACATGAATGCAGTTACGCAAGACAAACAAAATAAGCTGCGCTATGTCTACTAAATTTGATCATATTCCTCCTAAGCTTGTAAGGTTTTTAGAACCATAGATAATGAGATTTTTTTAGTCAAACATCACAAAAGAGCCCTAATTACTAGCAGTCAAAGAGGACGCCTGCTTCACAAAGACCAGACATGAACAATGACTGTGCATAAGCAAACATATCCACTTTCCTTTAATTATTTGTGAGAATTGAAGACAACAAAATAATAATACAAGAATAGCCTTACATTTCAAATGACAGTGCGAATAAACGTATATTGAAAAAGAGGATTTCAGCACTACTTGTGGTAAAGCAGGGCCTGGAGCCAGCTGAACTGGCGATTTAGGCAAATGACCACCTTCACAATGTGCATACCACCCTCACGAAACTGAAAAGCGGGTGGGGAGGATATTGGACATTAAATCAACTTGACAGAAATCTATAGCCTGAACAGCACGCCACAGAAAATTATATGAACACCAAGACAAGAAACAAGACAAACTTTTAATACAAGACAAGAGCAGTTCTTCGACTCTGCCACCTAAACGAGAATAAACATGACAGAAGTGGTACAGTTCTGAAACTAGCCCCCCTTAATGGGATGCCACCTGGCATCCCTAAGGCGAACACCCAACAAGATACATGACAGACCACTGGACAAAACAAGGCAGGCAACACCACACAAGACTGGAAAGTGAACTGTATATTAAGAAGGGAGGGAGGGAAGCCAAGCCAAATCAAGCAAAACAAAAAAGTCAGGGAAGGGAGGGCAAAAACAGTTAAGGATCAGAGGCTTACAGATTAAAGGTGGAGAACCAGGGAGGAGCTGGAGGAAGAGTCCAGAGTGGGGCCAGGAACCCCAGCAGAGGGCCAGGCTGGAGCCAGATGGACAGTCCAGGAAGGAGTAGGGACACAACAAAGCAGGGCCTGGAGCAAGCTGAACTGGCATTCTAGGCAAATGACGATCATGCCGCCTTCACAGAGTTCATGCCACCCTCACGAAAGTGAAAAGCGAGTGGGGAGGATATTGGACGTGGACGAAAGTCAAGAGTGGGCGAGCGAGGAGGGGGTTTATCTCATGGACATAAGTGAAGAATGGGGCATGGGGTGACACGGATAAAAGTGAAGAGAGGAGGGGGAGGATTGGGGGTCACGTCATAAACATGACAGAGGTGGCAGAGTCCTGACACTAGCCCCCCTAAAGGGATGCCACCTGGCATCCCTACGTGGAGCACTTTACAAGATACATGATAGACCACTGGACAAAACAAGGCAGGCAACATCAGACAACACAAGACTGGAAAGTGAACTGTATATTAAGAAGAGCGGGAGGGAGGGAAGCCAAGCCAAAGCAAGCAAAACAAAAAAGGCAGGGAAGGGAGGGCAAAAACAGGTAAGGATCAGAGGCTTACAGATTCAAGATGGGGAACCATGAAGGAGCTGGAGAAACAGAGTGGGTCAGGAACCTCAGCAGAGGGCCAGGCTGGAGTCAGAAGGACAGTCCAGGGAGGAATAGGGACACACCAGGTAGAAACAGTTGGTTAAGCTGGCAGGACAAGGAGCTAGACTGCAGTCAGAGAGGCAAGAAGCTAGGTGTGTGTGTGTGTGTGTATATACACACACACACACACACACACACATACACACACACACACACACACACACACACACACTTATAACAATATCAAATTCTGTTTCATGCATCAAAGCATTGGAGGTGGAAATTAATAATCTCCTTCAAATTCTGTGTCATTGTTAAAATATACACCCTCATCAACTATGGAATAAGACTCATAATCCCAGATATGTATCTTTTGAGCTTTGCACAAGTTTGTTCTTGTGACAATAGCAATAATGACAAGGTAAAGGATGTCAAGAAACAGAAAAAACAAAAACAGAATTTATCCAAGTAGTTCACAAACGCTTCCTTGCTGTTTGCCACTTGCTCTTTTTGTTCCACATTTTCCAGAAAGTTCACAATTTTTTGGAGCGACGCCTTAGCTGAACCACTAGACTGTTTTTTCATGCCAGCATCTGCTAATGGAGATAAAATAAATGTACATTTAACCACATTCTGTCTGAAGCGGTGAGTGTTTTTCGATATTTAATTGGTGTTTTTGCAATTTTTAGTATTCTCTTACCTTCATTTTGATCCAGCTGGGCGTTTTGTCTTCTGATTCTCTTTAAACATGTAGAAGCCATGAAGCTGTCACTAGTCAACAGATGTGTCAGCACTAAAGATGTCACCATGCTGAGCACCAGGTTAACCAGACAGAAGCAGAAGTGATAATCTTTGGAGCAAAACAAGACACATTATTAACTTGTGCAGCATTGCTTCTAGAATGAAAAAGGTATACATTATTATACATTTTCTAAGTGAAGTTTAATTATAAACTAATTTCGAGTGGATCACGTGCTTATTATTGCTTGCGGCTGGTCTCGCATTATTCAATTTATGAATTACCAATCAGACGATTTCTAAGCCACTATAAGTACCATATGACAGCCATCTTCATTTTGAAGAATCCCCCTTTCCACCCCTACTCCTCCTCCTTGTGAGATGGGTGGCACTGTGGGCCAGTGGTTAGCACTGTTGCCTCAAAGCAAGAACGCCACTGGTTCTAGTCCTTAGCAAGCCAGTCGATGTTTTTGTGCGGAGTTTACACGTTCTCCCTGTGCTCACGTGGGTTTCTCCCGTGTTCCCCGGTTTCCTCCTTAAGTTAATTGACTAATCCAAATGGGCACCATAGACATTCTCCTAGTAAGTAGTTATCTCTTAAGAGCAATCACTATCTGTTCATTAGCTACTACAGCAGGGGAGTTCTCGAGATCTACCTGAGCTCAAACTCCCCTCTCGCCTTGCAAACGGGAGGGAGCCCCAGGCTCGAGGATCTTATGAGCTTTTGGTGTCTCCCAGGACAGCATGCCAAAAGAGCTTTATAATTAATTATCAGCTAATTGTGAACTCATGAAAAGATATTAAACTCTTTGTAGAAATATTTATTTATTGTCAAAACGTATGGCCTCTAGGGTTGGGTACAGAAACCCTGTGCCATTATAGCACCGGTACCTTTGTAACCGGTATGTACCGGATCAAATCTGCATATGTATGTCGGTGCCACTGGTGCTGCGACAAGGATGTAAGAAGCATCAAGGGGTGCATCAATAGCAGCTTTTCCACTATCGTGCTGAATCATTCTTTAAGCAGAACCGTTCCATTCCGTGCCAAACCGGGCCAGACAGCACAGATACGTTTCATTTTCCACTTTCAAAGCTCTTTGAAACATTACACAAAACGCATGAATGCAAAACGAAATTATGTCCCCTAAGGGTGCTTTTTTACATTGGTTTAGTGGCAATATTCACAAGACAAATATACATACACATTGTGAATTCAATGAAAAATGTTTCATGGTCTTGGCCCTACCAATGAAATATAGATGTGATTTGCACTCCTATAGGACTTCTAATGTTTGAGAGATATCAAGATGCACATAAACCAATGTTTTTACATCTACAAGATGTTGAAAAAACCGTCAATGGGCTTCAATTTTAGACTTGGGGTGTTTTCACATCTGTAGTTCAGTTCATTTGGTCCGGAACAAGGGCAATAAAGGATACATTGTTGCATTTTCTGCCGTCTTTGGGTCGTTTTCACACCACACTGCTGGCTTTGGTCCAAACCAGTTGAAAAGAACCAAAATGCAGACATTTGACAAAATCCACATCTCTCATTGGCCAAATGTTGTTGAATATATTTCCTAAACTGCAAATTGATTGGTCAGAATTCACGTGCAGGAAAATGCCACCAAACTCCCGCAAGTAAACAAATCTGGCAGACACAAAATGTCACTTTTGACTATGGAGGGACGACTGCGCTGGCTAATTGTATCCCTGCTTTAGACAAACTATACATTTCAAAAATGAAGTGCGGCCGTGGCTGGAAAACAATGTTTTAATGCATCGCTCGTCACTTCAGAAGGAGGCGTGAATTAAGTTAGCTAAACTGCCACATGATCATCTTGCAGAAATATTACCAACGATCTACCAGGTAATGTTTCTCTCTCTCTCTCTCTCTCTCTGTTGGTAAAGCGCTGTCAACAAATATTTTTCCTCCATATCCCATAATGCACAGCGAATCAGCCTATGGCAGCTGGATTAGTCCAAAAGGTGCAGTACATTTTGCAGTTGGGTCTGTTTTATTTTGGATCATGTTCTCACCACAAACGAACCGCTCCAGGATTCATTTGAAAGCGTACCGAGACCACCTCTTCAAGCAGGTCTCAGTACGCTTTTTTGGTCCACTTTTGGTGCGCACTCGAGTACGATTGCTGCATTCACACCTGCCCAACCGAACGGCACCAAGAAGGAAAACTCTAGTGCGAATCAATCGAACTAAGTGAGGTTTATTCATAAACTAATTTCGAGAGGATCACGTGCTTATGATTTATCATGGCCGGTCCCTTAATTGCTAATCACTATCTTCCAATCATATGAGCCCTAAGCTACTATAAATAAATACAGTCTCCAGCTCATTTTATCTTTGTTTAGAAGAAACCCCCCTCCTCCCCTATTCTCCTCCTTTACCTCTGATTGGGCGGCACGGTGGCCCAGTGGTTAGCACTGCGAGCCCCACAGCAGAACACTGCCGGCCCTGGTCCCTTAGGGTCGGTGGGCGTTTCTCAGAGGACTTTGTATGTTCTCCCCATGTCCGCGTGGGTTTTCCCCGGGTTCTCCGGTTTCCTCCCACCATCCAAAGGCATTCAACACGTATAACAATTAAGCCTTTATCTAACCCCTCTGTTCCCTTAGCTACCGCAGACGGGGAGTTCTGAGATCCACCGAGCTCAGGCTCCCCTCTCGCTCTGCCAACGGGAGGAAGCCCCGGGCTCGAGGATCTCTTGAGCTCGGGGCTCTCTCCCGGGACAGCATGCCAAACAAGCTTTTATAAATCATCAGCTAAGTGTGAACTCTTGAAATAGGGCAGGTGTGAAAGCACCCTAACTTTGAATTTTGTTCGTATATGAAAACCAGGTTGACATCAGAACCCAACATCAGCTTGAGGTCAAACTCCAACATGAGTGCACAACATAAAACCAACCAAAGATAAACGTCTACTGATGTTCGTCGGTATTCGATGTCAGCTAGCATCAGCAAATTAACGTTAAATTTTAGTCACCTGATGTCGCTACCAAAATCGAACATGGGCCGGTATAAGATTCTGACGGTATTATAACCTTGGATAAAAAATATCACAATTTCACGGTATTGATTTGTGTAATTGTGATTACCGCTCTAAAATACATTCTTTTGTCTGGGTAACTATCTAAGTAAAAAAAAAATAACACAATATGTTTTATTTTGAGAAACATTTCAAATATTTTGGATCCGTGAACCTGCCAAGCTAAAAGAACTATTGACTTCTGAGGTCTTCATTTGTTATCGTCCCATGCCTAATGGGGGGTAACTTAAACTAAAGACTTTGGGTCGGTGCAATAGCCTAGTGGTTAGTGTGCCGACATATGGTGCAATAGCACATCAGAGCGTCGCAAGTTCGAATCCCAGCTCGATGACATTTCCCTACCCCCTGTCTCTCTCTCCCACTTCGCTTCCTGTGTCAACACTGTCCTATCTAATAATAAAGCCAAAAATAAATCTTTAAATAAAAACTAAAGACTTTGGGATGCTAATTGTTATCTCTGCTCGACATCCAAATGCACAGTTAAATACACACAGACATCAACCCCATTTAGGTTGATTCTGGATGGATTTGTAGCACAGTCAGCTCAGTTTTGGCATCAGTGAGATGATAAAGGGTCAGAGTTGTGCTGACTTTCCCAAACATTTCTGGCTGACATTCCTCTCTATGGTCCTATCTTGGATGAAAAGCTGTTGTTTGCGCAGCAGATCTGCATTCATTTAGTTGTGTATATTGACCTTTGTCAATATTGACATATAAACAGATGGGCCACTACTCAAATGACAATACTCAGCCTGCATTACAAAAAAGTCAGTTATCCTGAGTGTTAGGGAATACAAAAACAACAACTATTCAACAACTACAACTACTTCCTAAAATGGCCGACACGCAGGAGCCATTTTATAGTGTTTGGCCCAACCCATTTTTAGAACATACAATATGAAAAATTATAAAACTTATATCGCAAGGCAAAAATATTCTAAGAGACAACACATAGGGTAGTAACATGCAACATATATAGCTCACAAATATCTGCGAAAGTGTCTGATAAATGTTACATCAAAATTAATTGCTTACTTGATTTATACCCCATGATGTCATTGAAATTGCTAGAACCCTGATCATTGAGGAAATAAAAATGGCAACTTTTCCTACATACAGGTATGGCTGTTTGTGTAATGGCCTCAAAAGAATTATAAATATATATATTTTTAATGCCTTTCTTTTATTTGTGTTTTATATAAATCTGAATAGGGCATCACGGTGGCGCATAAGTAGCACAATCACCTCACAGCAGGAAGGTTGCTTATTTGAGCCTCAGCTGGGCCAGATGGCATTTCTGTGTGGAGTTTGCATGTTCTCCCCGTGTTGACATGGGTTTTCTCCGAATGTTCCGGTTTCCCCCCACAGTCCAAAGACATGTGGTACAAGTGAATTGGGTAGGCTAAATTGTCTGTAGTGTATGTGTGTGAATGGATGTCAGCCTTAAGGGGGTGGACTGTTTCTCCAAAGCAGCCCATTTAATTTCCCTCTCCAAGCTCCTTTTAGCCAAGGAGACTGCTCAGGTGGTGGTGGACCACGTATTCTGGATTCACGGTCTTCTTGTTGATGTGGTTTCTGATAGGGGCCCCCAGTGTGTCTCCCGGTTCCGGAGGGAATTCTGCCGACAGATCGGGGCCTCTATGAGTCTGTCGTTGGGATTCCATCCTCAGACCAATGGGCAGTCTAAGCGGGCAAACCAGGATTTGGAATGTGCTATCCACTGCCTGGCATCCCATAACCCTAGCTCCTGATGTCAACAATCTCCCTTGTTTCCCTCACAGGAACCCAAAGCTGCAGTCCTGTCTGCCTTGGCTTTTGTCCAACGGTGTCAGCGCAAGAAGAGCTAAGGAGGCCTCAGCTTGGGCTAGTAGATTGACCAAAGCAGCAGTTGATCATCATCAGACTCCGGCTCACCACTATGAATGCTCCCAGGTTCATTGACCCACACCGGATCACTAAAGTATTGAGTCCTCTGGCGGTTTGCCTCAAGCTTCCTTCTATGCTTGGTCGGGTACACCCAATTTGTCATGTATCTAGGGTTAAACCTGTGTATTTAACCTCTTGTTCCCTCTGTTCCGAGCCCTTCACCCCTCCCCTCTGTCTAGAGGATGGCTCCATAGTCTAAACTGTTAGGAGATTACTGGATGTCAGATACAGGAGTCATGGCTTTCAATACCTAGTGGACTGGGAGGGCTATAGCCAGGAGGAGAGGAGATGATATCGTAGAAAGGAGGCTGATCAATGACTTCCATTGGTGACAAGGTGAGCCCACTTCTGGATCATCTAGTGGCGCTCGAAAAAAAAAAAAAAAAGGGGGGGGGGGGGGTACTGTCACATCCTTGGTTTGATCATCTGAGCTAATTTTTGTTGTTTTGTTCATATTGTCTATGTGTCTTTCCTTAGCATGTTTTGTTTTGATCACTAGCTACATGCCTTCTGTTTACTTTCTACATCCCCGCCTATCCTCTGTTTACATTCTATTACTCTATTAAGCTAATGTCACTTGTCTGTTTCTCATCATTTCTCTCTATGTATTCCTTCTCTAATCATTGTCCTGTGTCAGATTGTTGTTCTGTTTTCATGTGTGCTCAACGATTTGCGAGTCCTGTCGAGTCTGACTTCCAGTCAGTTTTTGTGTCCTTGATTTTTGCTCTTCTCTGCTACCAGGTCTGCTCCCATTTTGTTATAGCCCTGCTGCTCACCTGCTTCTCCTCCCAGAGTCCAGCAAGCCATCTTCCAGCCCTCACCTTCTCTGAGGCGCTCACTCTTCCTTGTGGTGTATCAGCCCAGGATTCTGCATTTAGCGGTATCGCCCCCTGTCGGGTGTCATTGTTATTACACCCTTATGAGAAGACTGTCTATAGACCAATTACCATGTTTGTAAACATTGAGGATGCGCACGCAGGGAGGTAGCAGAAAGCAACCGGGAGCGCTAGCATTTACAGCGAGGGAATGACATCAAATGCAGCGCAAAGTTTGTTGTTGTCTGAAAAATAAAATGTATTACTTACATATTATATATATTATTTACATAATGCTTACAGCATATTATAACATCTCGTCAACCAGTGACAAGCACAGTAATTCTGCAAAATTAACGTTAAAGTGATCGGCCTTCATCTGACAGGTCCATTTGCGATAGCACCCTCCCAATGGATATTGGATAAGACGAAGTGACCAAGCATCCAGCCCGAAATATACAATGTCATTGAGGCTCCGAGTAATTTTACAAGAGAGAAGTTAAAGGCCTACAAGTCTTTGGATGCCAACAATGTTGTTTTTTGTGGTCATGTGCAAGAAATATTGCTCCATGATGATCAGATTCAAGAGCTAAACACAGAGATTCTGCCTAGCCAAAGACAAGGAAACAAGACGGAGCTAACATTATACAAGGCCTGGGTAATTAAACACCAACACGCAAAACAACTGCATTCTGACAGTGAACTTCACCTGTACGGCAGGGTATGTGAACCTACACATAGAGGTTAAGTTGGTTTTATATTCGCACATTCAGACTTTCTCCTTAATAATATATTTTCATAAAAATATTATTTGCAAACTCTAAATAGCGAAATCATGCAGCAGCCAATGACTATCAATATACAACATCGTTCACAGTCAAATAAACAGCGCTAATGTTGTTTTCAAGTCACACTTGCAGGTTATTTTAGACCGAATATTCAAAGTGCCATGGTAAACAATATAGGGAGTGTGTCACAAGTTGTCACTGAATAAATGTGTGAATATAAAACCAAATTTACCTTAAAAAACGTAACTTTCACGTTTCATTCTTAGCATTCAGTGTCCGCAGTTTAATTAACCATAAGTAACTGTTTTTGCTGAAATCATTTCTGCAATCAAAAACGAGTGATGTGTATGATTCAGCATAGCTGAACTTCATTCAGCTCCCATTTAGCCAAAGACATCTGCAGTCGGTATTAAAGCAGTGTGTGGTGCATGGTAAAAGTTAAGTTTTCTGTTTTTGGACTCGAATTCGGCATCCTACCTGTCATGTTCACCAGTGAACAAACCACCAGATGTCGCTGGTAAACACTCACTCATGGAACTACAAATCTGCCAGTAAATGGACTACATATTCAGTCATGCCACACACACACACACACACACCTGCCCCAAGTCTCCACTGATTAGACTCCTACAGCTGATCTTGCTTCAAGACTGATTTCACACAGTATTTTAGCAGCACACACACTCATTCACATTTCCGAGTCTTGTTTACTGATAGTGACATTACAACGCGTTTCCTTTGTCTGCCTTTGCCGTGTTTTGATCCTTGCTTTGTTTATTTATTTAATTCTATTTGCTGCCTGCCTCTGACCATCTGCCTGTTATTTTGACTTAGACTCTGGATTGCCCTCATACATCTGTTTATGCTGGTACTGACCACTGCTTGCTTGACAATTCTAATAAACCTGCACGTGGATCCTACCTTCTGTTGTGAATGTCATCTCCACGTCGTTACACTACTGCACAACACGACATCTTTCCCATTGCAGCCTATCTTTTTTTTTTGCAACCAGGGACCCGTGTAAAGTCATGCATGACGTAGGTTGGTAATTGGTCTACTCTTTCAATGAAGAAAGTTAAGTTTGTTGGCTTTTAGTTTCTTGAACACCTTTTTCATTCTATTTTTTGCCTTTTCCTCTGTATATGAACTGAAGTCTTCTATGACTGTTCTCTCTAAGGAGTGTTTTTGTTTTGGTAGTCTTTCCTAGTTACTACACTTGAAACAATTGTCAACAACTGTGGCTCAAAGATGCATGCAAGTAATAAGTAATTACTACAGTCTTTGCAAATGACCCAATATCACACATTTTCAAGGCTGGTTTTCAGCTTATTCATTCTGAGACTGTTTATTTACATTTACTCCCCAAGCCTCCCTATTGCCCTGTATCTTGTAAGTCGCTTTAGGTCATTGCCAATGTGTTTTGCAGTTAGAACTCATTTTAGCTCATTTGAATCACCAACAGGACCTGACATTTGTTGTGCATTTTTCAGCAAATTCCCAATGTCAGCGAGAGACAATCAAGACTAAAATCATCAACACTTCAAGACATCCATGCTTGCAATGACAAAGTATTTTGCAACTACCGCCTCTGACTTACTGACATGTATTCTTCATTTTTACTTACGGAGAAGAGGGGTACATTCCCCACCACTGGGGAGACGATCATTGAGGATGAGGATAAACATTGTCAAGCTCAACATCAAGGTGACCTTAAGGTTGTTGCGTTCTCCTCCTTGAATTGGCAGAGAAAAGCTCACCAGGTCAGCCAGCATTATTAGTGCACTGGGAAGAATCAGGGTCACAACAGCACTGAAAGGATTGATGGATAAAGTGACCTGTTTACAGATGATGGGAGAAAGAATAGCATTTAGTTTAATTAAGTGCGTTCATTCATCAAACACAAATGAACAATACTCTGTGGGGAATTTGAAACACCTCCCCTAACTACTCAACAGCTTCATCCCACAGGCTGTTAGAGCCCTCAACTCCAGTCAATTTACCCCCTCTGAAATCTCTCAAACGTGATGTCAACAGTAGATTTACATACTAAGAGATGATCGGACAGGTCTTCACACGTGCAGTGCATGTGAGAGGTAATCGAACGCATACAAAGGCAGAAATTTTTAGCTTTGTTGCAGTTGTTTTTAACCACCAAACCAATATTACAAGAGAGCAATAGGCAAATATCTTTACATATAAAAAAATTAAATATTAAGGATATATATAGGATATAATAAGAATAGATATAGAATATAAATATAAAGGATTAAAATATTACAAAACATATTATTTTCTAGCCTACATAAATATGAAAAATCACTGCTTTTATGTCTTCTTCATCTCGGGAGGCTTTTTCAGTTCATTCATAACAATTTGCTTTTGTATAATGTTATTATTATTAGCAGTATTATTTATTATATCCATATTTACATTTGTTTTATTAAAAACAAGCTTAGATTTGTTCACCTGTAAGGGGCACAGCATGTGTTTTAGGATATAACTCAGGTTTTTGAGCACATTTTGTTAATATTGTTCATTTATTCGTTTGCTGGAAATTAGAACTGAATTTAGAAATAGTTTTGAAACGAATATTTAGGCTTAACAAACAAAATTATTTATTTATAGACTAATTGATGTCTGTGCGTACAGGTTTCCCTATCCAAGAGCGAATGTGAAAGTAGTTCCATTATCTCTCATTCTCACGCAGTAGATGCTCTGTTAAACAGTTTTCTGTTAAAAACTGTTAACTGTTTGCTTGTGAAATGCTCATTTTTTTCCACTTAGACTTACTTTGTGTCCTGTAAATAGCGAATGCGCTCTTGGCGTGACGCAGCTGGCTCTTAAAGGGAATGGGAGATGAGACTCTAATTGGTTTATTCTCAAAACACACCTATAACTCATTAAGAAAATAAACTCAACCCTTTTAGACCATGCGCCGCGGCGCAAGGCAGATTTCCTTCCTTAAATTTGCAAAAACGCGTCCTGACACGCTCTGAAAGCGTTTGCGTCCTGCGTTTTGCGCTCTGCGCATGGACCGTCAAAATAGAGCTCTAAGAGTCTTTTCATTCCCCCAATGCAATGTGTCGCAAGGTCTAATTTTCATGTCCTGACTGAGCCACATTGTTTAAACAGCAATTGCATTTGTGCCTATGTGTGCATGCTATTGTGCAGCAACTGAAATATACTGTGCCCCTCACTAACAATATGCAGTACTACTTGATATATAATATAATTTGAGTGAAAATCAACACCACACTATCATCATAAAACAAGATCAAAATAAGTTAATTAAAACTGATTTCACTGATCTTATGAAAGAAATTGAGTATCTGCATGAGAATGACTTAATCCAGCCATTGTCATCACTGAATGAACAGCACAACTGCACATACAGTTGAAACCAGAAATTTACATACACTGTATAAAAAAAGCACATAACCATTTAAAAATGTGAGATGTTAATGTGACTAAACTTGTTCTCTTTTACGTAAGTTAGGGTTATCAAATGTGTTTCTGTTCTGCTTAATAGAATAATGAGAGAGATATTTGTTGAGAAATTGTTATCACTTTTCTTGAAAGTCAAGTTTACACACAATAAGATTATTCTGCCTCTGAAAAAGCTCAGATGATGGAGTCAAGGTTTTGGAAGTTTCTGATTGGCTAATTGACAACATTTGAGTTAATTGGAGGCACAACTGTAGACACACTGCTTCCTTGTGTGACAACATGGGAAAATCAACAAGCCAGAATCAACAAAAAAGCCAGATTACAATTTGCTAAATTACACTGGGAAAAAAGACCAATTTTTGGAGATATGTCCTGTGGTCAGATGGAACTGAGATTGAACTGTTTGGCCATAATGACCAGTGTTACATTTGAAGGGCAAAGGGGAAAGCTTACAAGCCTAGGAACACCATCCCAACTGTGAAGTATGGGGGCGGCAGCATCATGTTGTGGGGCTGTTTTGCTGCAGGAGGGACTGGTCCACTTCACAGCATAGATGGCATCATAAAGAAAGAACATTAAAGTACATCATTACTGAAGCAACATCTCAAGACATCAGCCAGGAAATAAAACTTGACCACAAATGGGTCATCCAAACAGACCATGACACTAAGCATACTGCCAAATTAGCTAAAAACGTGCTTTAAGGACAACAGAGTGAATGTTTTGTACTGGCCATCACAAAGCCCTGCTCTCAATCCTATAAAATGTGTGGGCAAAATTGAAAAAGCTTGTGCGAGCAAGACAGCCAACAAATCTGACTCAGTTACACCAATTATGTCAGGAGGAATGGGCCAAAACTCCTTCAAACTATTGTGTGAAGCTTGTGGAAGGATACCCAAAACATTCGACCAAAATTATACAGTTTAAAAGCAAAGCTAAAAAATACCAAGGAAATGTGTGTAAACTTTAAAATGTCTAGAAATTGATTAAAAAAATTCTCTAAATGCTTTTCTCTCATTATTCTGGCATTTAGCAAATGTAAATCAATAAGGTAATCCTAACGGGTCTAAAATAATAAACGTTTAGTGTGATTTATATCAGATATTTTTTAAAAAATGGTTATGTCCCTTTTTTTAGAGTGTATGTAAACTTCTGATTTCAACGGTAAATGCACACAATAGTGATGGGGGAAAATGAAGCTTTTCAAAGCTTCGAAGCAAAACTGAAGCAATTGCTTTGCAATTTTTTTTCTAAGGGTTTGAAACATTATATGCTAGGGACATCTTGTGGTCAAAACTATGTAAATGCTACAAACTCGTGAAACATATTTTGAACCTTAAATTGGAAAGTAAAACTTGTAAATACAATTAGCAATAATGTCATTAAAAATGAGCTGTAAGCACCATGTTTGTTTCATGGTGGACTCTGCTAAACAGGCCATCAAGAGACTTTACTAATTATGTCACGGTTGGTGAGGGGAAAAGGAGCGAGGACTCAAGTGCAAAGAAACAATGGGTATTTATTAATAATAAAATAAAAATAAAAGGCAAAACAAAACTACCCCGAAGGGGAAAACATGAATACAAAGGCAAAAACAAACTTGACAGGGCTGGCAGGACTGGCAGGACAAGACAGGAAACTAGCAACGACGAACTGACAAAGGACTGAAAACATGAGGGGGATTATAAAGCAAAAAAGTAAATTGAAACACAGGTGAACACAATTAACTAAATATGGGTTAACAAGGAGGGTGGGACTAGACAATAGACGGGAGAGCGCATGACACAGAGAGACAATACAAGCCATGCGCTCACATAACACAACACTGAAGCACACGACAAAAGCACGTGACCAATGTAAACACCGAGCCATGTGCTTTGACAAAAGACGCAAGACACGAGCACACGATGAATGAAAACACTCACCATGCGCTCACATATGCAGCATGCATGCTTCATCCCAGCGCCGACCAAAACCGAAACCAACAAGACTGAGACGCTGGGAATGAAACACCATGCTGCTGACAGACGAAAACACAAACACGAGTACAAGAGCGCACGCGTCTGAGGGACGCAGAGCGCGCGCGCGGCCGTGTCAAGCAGAAGCGCGCACACTCTGCGTACACCCACGACGGCGCGCGCGCACACAGAGACAGAAACAGGACCGGACATGGGTAGTGTCAGAGCTCTGCCACCAAAACAAGAATTTACAAAGACCAGAGTGGCAGAACCCTGACACTAGCCCCCCCCAAAAGGGACGCCACCTGGCGTCCCTAAAGGGAACATCCAACAAGGTACAAGACAGACAAGAAAACAAAACAGGCAACATCAACAGACACAAGACAGGGGGGTGAACAGGCAAGACGACATGAAGGGAGGGAGGGAGGGAAGCCAAGCCAGACCCAACAAGACAAACAAGGGAGGGATGGGAGGGCAAGACCAGGGAGGATCAGGAGGGACAGTCCAGGGTGGATTCAGTGGGTCGGGGGCCCCGGCAGGGAGCCAAGGTGGAGCCGGAGGGTCCGTCCAGGGTGCAGGGAGGGAACACCAGGGAGGAGCAGGAGGGACGACCCAGGGAGAGTCTATCAGGGGAGACAAGGCAGGAGGTCGGTGGGGAGCCGGCTGGGCTGGAGACCAGAGGGGAGCCGGCAGGGCTGGAGACCAGAGGGGAGCCGGCAGGGCTGGAGACCAGAGGGGAGCCGGCAGGGCTGGAGACCAGAGGGGAGCCGGCAGGGCTGGAGACCAGAGGGGAGCCGGCAGGGCTGGAGACCAGAGGGGAGCCGGCAGGGCAAGGCGTCGGGCTGGGACCGGCAGGACGAGACGTCTGGATGGGGCCGGCAGGGCAGGGCGCCGAGCTGGGGCTAGCTGGGCGAGACGTCTGGGTGGCGCCGGCAGGGCGAGACGTCTGGGTGGCGCCGGCAGGGCGAGACGTCTGGGTGGCGCCGGCAGGGCGAGACGTCTGGGTGGCGCCGGCAGAGCAAGGAGCCGGGCTGGGGCCGGCTGGGCGAGACGTCTGAGTGGCGCCGGCAGGGCGAGACGTCTGGGTGGCGCCGGCAGGGCAAGACGTCTGGGTGGCGCCGGCAGGGCAAGGAGCCGGGCTGGGGCCGGCTGGGCAAGGCGTCTGGGTGGCGCCGGCAGGGCAAGGCGTCTGGGTGGCGCCGGCAGGGCAAGGCGTCTGGGTGGCGCCGGCAGGGCAAGGCGTCTGGGTGGCGCCGGCAGGGCAAGGAGCCGTGCTGGGGCCGGCTGGGCAAGGCGTCTGGGTGGCGCCGGCAGGGCAAGGCGTCTGGGTGGCGCCGGCAGGGCAAGGCGTCTGGGTGGCGCCGGCAGGGCAAGGAGCCGGGCTGGTGCCGGCAGGGCTAGACGTCTGGGTGGTGCCGGCAGGGCAAGGAGCCGGGCTGAAGCCGGCAGGACAAGACGTCTGGATGGCGCCGGCAGGGCAAGGAGCCGGACTGGGACCGGCACTGAGCTGCGCTCTGGGGCTGGAGCCGACACTGGAGGGCGCTCTGGGGCTGGAGCCGACACTGGAGGGCGCTCTGGGGCTGGAGCCGACACTGGAGGGCGCTCTGGGGCTGGAGCCGACACTGGAGGGCGCTCTGGGGCTGGAGCCGACACTGGAGGGCGCTCAGGGGCTGGAGCCGACACTGGAGGGCGCTCAGGGGCTGGAGCCAGTATGGTGGAGGAGCCCTTTCTCCTCCTACGCTTCCTTATTTTTGGTGGCGGGAAGCTGGCCACCTCTTCAGACACTGCTGGGCACTCCACTACCTCTGAAAGTGTTGCAGTGTCTGTTTCGGGCACCTCGAGGGATGTTGCTGCCGCCAGGGTGGTTGCTGGATGGGCTGCAGTGGGTTCAGTCACCTCTAGGTGGGTGACAGGTGAGGGCCCGTTCTTCCTCCTCCGTTGGTGGGTCATCGGAGGACTGGGGATTTGGCAGTCTGTGAGCGGGATTGGCGGTGGGCCAAGGGGAGGCAGGCCACCGTCTCCCTGGCTGTGGTACAAATAGCTCACAAACTGCCAGAATGACAGTATCCCCAGCATCCCCATCTCCCAGGCCTGAAGGGGGCTGTTGAGTCCAGCATTGAAAGCCTCCTTCAGTGCTGTGGTGGTAAACTCAAGCCCCTCTGCTGCGTAGACAAACTGGTAGGCAAACTCCTTGACTGAAGATTCCCCTTGATGAAGACCAAAGAGTTTGCCCAAACGTTCCTTCTGCTGGCATGCAGAGGGACGTGAACTGGGAGATGGGAAAAGGAAGATACCCATATTTCTGCTGAGTCCTCTGTTATGGTCAGTTCGTACTGTCACGGTTGGTGAGGGGAAAAGGAGCGAGGACTCAAGTGCAAAGAAACAATGGGTATTTATTAATAATAAAATAAAAATAAAAGGCAAAACAAAACTACCCCGAAGGGGAAAACATGAATACAAAGGCAAAAACAAACTTGACAGGGCTGGCAGGACTGGCAGGACAAGACAGGAAACTAGCAACGACGAACTGACAAAGGACTGAAAACATGAGGGGGATTATAAAGCAAAAAAGTAAATTGAAACACAGGTGAACACAATTAACTAAATATGGGTTAACAAGGAGGGTGGGACTAGACAATAGACGGGAGAGCGCATGACACAGAGAGACAATACAAGCCATGCGCTCACATAACACAACACTGAAGCACACGACAAAAGCACGTGACCAATGTAAACACCGAGCCATGTGCTTTGACAAAAGACGCAAGACACGAGCACACGATGAATGAAAACACTCACCATGCGCTCACATATGCAGCATGCATGCTTCATCCCAGCGCCGACCAAAACCGAAACCAACAAGACTGAGACGCTGGGAATGAAACACCATGCTGCTGACAGACGAAAACACAAACACGAGTACAAGAGCGCACGCGTCTGAGGGACGCAGAGCGCGCGCGCGGCCGCGTCAAGCAGAAGCGCGCACACTCTGCGTACACCCACGACGGCGCGCGCGCACACAGAGACAGAAACAGGACCGGACATGGGTAGTGTCAGAGCTCTGCCACCAAAACAAGAATTTACAAAGACCAGAGTGGCAGAACCCTGACAAATTATTTATTTACATTTTACAAACTGCCCTTCAAACAAATTTTTTTTTACACACTAGAGCAGGGGTGTCAAACTTAATTCCTGGAGGGCCGAAGCCCTGCACAGTTTAGTTCCAACTCTGCTCCAACACACTTACCTGTAGGTTTCAAACAAGCCTGAAGGACTCAATTAGTTTGATCAGATGTGTTTAATTAGGATTGGAACTAAACTGTGCAGAGCTGCGGCCCTTTTGGAACTGAGTTTGACACCTGTGCTCTAGAGCAGGGGTTCCCAAACTTTTCAGCCAGCGATCCCCAAAATAACAATGTCAGTGACTCGCGACCCCCATTTTTCAAAATGGTTATACTGTAAATATATAAACGATGCAGACACAACTGTAGCCCCATATAAACATGAGCATATTGAGAAGACATAAATGCAACATTTAATGTTTTTTTTTTTAGTCATTTATTAATTTAATTACATCTTAATATAAAAATTCAAAGCTGATGGCTGATTTTTGTTTGTATGTTTTTGTTTCTTTAACGCAACTATTAACTATCTTCTGTAGGTTATGAATAAAATGTTACTTCAAATAGTTTATGCAAATTTATTTGAATTTTAGAAATCACCAGGCGACCCCTTGTCATTTTCCCGCGACCCCCCAGGGGGTCCCACCCTCCACTTTGAGAACCACTGCTCTAGAGTGTAGAACTAAGAAAAAAAATACTTTAAACATTTTGTTCTCTAGCCAAATGAATAACACTAGAACACTAGAAGTCTGCCAATTACAGAAAAACCTAATGTACATATACAGTTGAAGTCAGAATTATTAGCCCCCCTGAATTACTAGCCCACCTAATTTCTATTTAATGAAGAGGAGTTTTTCAGCACATTTTTAAACATAATAGTTTTAATAACTCATTTCTAATAACTTATTTATTTTACCTTTGCCATGCTTACAATAAATACGAAATAAGAATCAGAAATATCAGTAGTTACCAAAAGATATTTGCGGTTTTCCATGTCATCCTCTTTTGCTATTTCCACATTCTCCGTCATCCACTCTCCACTTAGAGTTCCTCCCGATGTAGTTACAGTACGGGGATAAAATAATACAATCCCACAATCTAAATCAAACCCATGAAAAAAAGTTGAGCAGTTAGTCATGTCATGCCTCTACACCTTTCTTTTTGAGTTAACGTCTCTGATCAAATGATTTAGAATATATAAATTATTCATTAAAATGTCATCTTACCACCATTTTTCCAACCATTGATGGCCACAAGACATTGCCCACTCACAAAGGGATAGGTGAAAAGCTTGATATCACAGCTCACTGCTATGAGCAGAATAACAGCATGGGATACACTTCCAAAAGAAGTCACAACTACATCATCAGTGTATGGCTTTGAGGTTGCATCTATCCTGTTTACAGAAAGAGAGCGCATATGCTAAACTTTTAATTCCCTCTCAGAACTACAAATGCAGTTTTAGAGTTTCAAGAGTTCACACTTAGCTGATGATTGATTATAAAGCTTGTATGGCGTGCTGTCCTGGGAGAGAGCCCTGAGCTCATAAGAACCTCGAGCCCGGGGCTCCCTCGCATTTGCAGGGTAAGAGGGGAGTTGGAGCTCAGGTAGATCTCGAGAACTCCCCTGTTGTAGTAGCTAATAAACAGATAGTGATTGCTCTTAAGAGATAACTACTTACTAGGAGCATGTCTAGGGTGCCGATTTGGATTAGTCAATTAACCTAAGTTGCATGTTTTTGGATGGTGAAAGGAAACTGGGGAAGCGCGTGTCACCAAGGTACGAAACGTGACACACACACAGACACACAAACACGAATAATGTTTTCAAAAGGATAGTTTGTGAACCAGTTGGCATGAACCGTATCCCAGACCACCTCTTTCAGGCGGACTCAGGTATGATTCATGGGTGCGCACCTGAGTTCAGAAAACACGTTCACACTAGCTAAACATACCGTACTATGACGTCAAACGAACCCGGGTGCGGACCAGAAGTGCTAGAGTGAAAGCACCCTTAGGGCCCTATCATACACCCGGCGCAGTGTGGCGCAAGATGCGGCGCAATAGTCTTATGCTAGTTTCAGCTTGGGGCAAGAGTCAGTTTTGAGGCGTTGCGCTACGCTGTTTAAATAGCAAATGCATTAGCGCTCATTTGTGCGCTCATAGGCGTTCTGGTCTAAAAAGGAAGGCGTTCTGAGGCGGACCGCTGGCGCGTTGCTATTTTGAGAAACTATAATAGATTTTTCATTAGACCACCAAAACTAACCCGGTCTAAACTCCGGCGCAGAGTTGCGCCTCGCTTACGCACTGCTTAATACGCACAAGAGAGCAATAGGCAAATATCTTTACATATGAAAAAAATTTAATATTAAGGATATATATGATATAATAAGAATAAATATAGAATATAAATATGGATTAAAAAAGGATTAAAATATTACAAAACATATTATTTTCTAGCCTACATAAATATGAAAAATCACTGCTTTTCTGTCATCTTCATCTCGGGAGGCTTTTTCAGTTCATTCATAACAATTTGCTTTAGTATAATGTTATTATTATTAGCAGTATTATTTATTATACCCATATTTATATTTGTTTTTTTTTAAAAAGCTTAGATTTGCCCACCTGTCAGGTTTTAGACCATATGGGGCATGGCAGGTGTATTTGGAAATAACTCAGTATTTTGACCACACTTGGTCATTATTGTTCATTTATTTGTTTGCTAGAAATTAGAACTGAATTTAGAAATAGTTTTAAAACAAATCTTTGCGCTTAAAAAACGAGATTAATTATTTATAGGCTAATTGATGTCTGTGCGTAAAGGTTTCCCAAGAGTGAATGTGAAAGTAGTTCCATTATCTCTCATTCTCACGCAGTAGATGCTCTGTTTAACAGTTTTCTGTTAAAAACTGTTAACTGTTTGCTTGTGAAATGCTCATTTTTTCCACTTAGACTTACTTTGTGTCCTGTAAATAGCGAATGCGCTCTTGGCGCGACGCAGCTGGGTCTTAAAGGGAATGGGAGATGAGACTCTAATTGGTTTATTCTCAAAACACACCCATAACTCATTAAGAAAATAAACTCAACCCTTTTAGACCATGCGCCGCAGCGCAAAGCGGATTATCCCGTCCGTAAATTAGCAAAAATGCGTTCTGACACGCCCTGAAAGCGTTTGCGCCCTGCGTTTTGCGCTCTGCGCATGGACCGTCAAAATAGTGCCCTTAGTCTCTTAAAATCTCAGAAGCCACAAATAGCAGCAGCAGCTTCACTTGTTACTAAAATGTTTGAACTAATTTCAGTCTACAAAAGTCCTTACACATTTACTGAAAAATAGTAAACATTATTGTTACAGATTTGCAGAAAATGTCATTTTCTTCTGATATGTTTATCATGTGCTATACATTTTTTTAAAACACCAGTAATAGGAAATACTAAACTAACTCTTTAAACTTAGTCTAGTTATGAATAACATAATAACTAATGACAACAGACAAAGCAGATTTCTAGAGAATTCATCCATTTTAATTTTTGTCATTTAAAAACATGCAAATGAAGACTCGAATATTATCATACCATGTTTTACTGTAATGGCATATTAGCAAGGCAACTATGTTAATTCAAATGGAAGCATTGGCTTATGAGTTGTCTGAATGTTCATTTACTTTATAGAATCGGATTAATTTTTCCCTCCACAAATCTAAAAACATTATTTTGCTCACTCTTAATAATGACTTGATACAAAAACTCAAATTTAGTGTGGTTAACTGTTTTCGGTTGCTTAAATGTTATGTGAAATGAAAAAATTAAGAACAGCCCACCAATTAAATTAAAAAGGTAACAGCGTGTTGTCTAGGGTCAAGAGAATACCTGCCTAAAGTTTTAAATAAAATCTTTATTTAAAGTTTTGCCTCCTGCCATCAGGCAGAAGGTACACTTATTTTAGACGGGCAAGGTCCAATAGATACTTGTATTCATTTGTTCCAACGGCTGTTGGGTTACTAAATAAGCTTTAAGTGATTATTGCATTGTTTACTGTTATTTTATGTTGTCAAATGTGACATGTTGCTGTCAATTGTCGGCTATTGCTGTAAACTTAATTGCCCTTCGGGGACAATTAAGATATTCCAAGTCTAAGTCTAAGAGTAAAGAAAAAAAAACATTATGGTGAAGAAATAATCTTACCACATTAGACCACTTTACCCATTCAAAGCCTACAATAAAACTACAATAGCCTACTAAAATTCTGAATTCACTTACGCATTATCCAAAGCTAGCCCAGGAGTCCAGATTTTGTCAACTGGTAACATAATTGCTTCAGCATTAGATGTTTCTTCTGTCCACATTAGACTGAAGTCAGACCACCGCTATAGACAGTAAATAGACTGTTATAAATAAATAGTACATCCTTCCTGCTGTAAAATCAATCCCTTTGAGCATTCATTAAGGTGATCATTCATTGTGAATTCTGATATTTGGAATATCGAATTTCTCTGCACATGTCAGGTTTATGTGAAGATCATTTGGATGCAGTGACATTTGACATGGTTTTGTAACCCTAAATCCAAAACAATCAGGTTAAATACTGTGCCAAAAACCTGGACAGAGAAACATTGCTTTCATTACCTATACCAAGGTCAACATCTTCACCAACCATAAACATACCCTTTACAGTAATCGACAGGATTTAACCTACTTGGCTTGTGAATTCCTCTCACATGGTATGAGTCATGATCATAGCAGCATCAATGATTTCTACTTCACTTTTCCCAATGTGACCATGTATGCCTGCCTTTAGAACAGGGCTGTCCAAACACGGCCCTGGAGGGCTGGGGCCTCATGTACGAAGACTTGCGTTGAAATCATACTAAAACATTGCGTACGCGGTAAAAAATTCAGATGTATGAAACACTGCGTACGCCGAATCCCACGCATATTCTCTTTGTACATCCGAATGAACGTGAAACTGAGCGCAACATGCACGAGTGCAAAACCCCTCCCTGCCTCCTCCCCCGTATGAATATGCTAATGACTCTACTTTGGCAAAACCCAACGAAAAAGCAATGGCAAAAGCAAGCAAAAAGAGAAACTTTGAACAGAATGTGATTTGGAGGTGCTTTTGAACACCCCTGCTTTAGAAGGTCAGGATTGCTGAAGCTGAGCCAACAAACACAAAAATAGTCAAATAAAAAAAGTTGATCTACTCACCATGTTTACCTTGACACGGCAACTCATCTGCTGTTCTTTTGTATCCTTAACACAGTGACAAATGGAATAAGAATTAAGATTCGAGGTAAGATTTAGGTCAAATCCGTATTAAAGAGCCCCTATTATTGGTTTTTGAGAATGACCTTCCATGTAGTTTGTAACACAGCTCTAAGTGAAGTGAAATATCCAGCTAAGGCTTAAATCTGAAAGTGCACAGTGTTTAAAACTATTGATTCATCTATAAAAGAGTCCACTCATAGTGCTTCAAATGAATCATCTTGATAACGAGTTTTTAGCCGTTTCGGCATGACGTCGATATGAAACTGAAGCTGCGGTCACACTGGGCTTTTCCTCCCATATACTTTTATTCATACGCACGTGAATGCGTCAGACCAAAAACGTGGGGTCATGCGTCAAATTTCGCAGGTTGCTGCAGTGCAAAGTTCAAGCTTGGTGAACTCTGACCTGCGAAATCGCATCACTTGACTCCGTGAGACCAATCGAGGATCATAACATGATCTCTCAGGACAGAAATTTCTAACATGGAGCAATCGCTCGCTTTTTTAAATGTCTAATAAGCTTGTTTAATCCCGCCCCTTTTCGCAGCGCCGTACAACAGAATTTCGCACACACAAACTCTAGTGTGCCCGCAGCTTTAAGCCCCGTCCAATTGTTGCGCACACAAAACCAGGAAAATTGAAACCTGCAGCCCCACCCACAAACACTGTAGCAGACCCAGGTTAAATCAAGTCATGAAGCTGCTATGCTCAGCTGGATATTATTGGAAGTGTGAGGGGAAAGTTCGTGTTATTTTCTCTACCCAAACATGAAACTGTGAGAGGGTCAGTGGTTGAGGTTTTAGCATGCACATTATGTATTTATTTGTGTTTTGTTACTTGTAACCCATAGATATATACATTAGATGTCGCCTGGCCTATTGTTTTCTATTGGACAGAATGCGTCAATAGCGCCGCCATCTTGCTACAGGGTAGCGCTCCTTTGAAATGAATGGGGGACCAAGGTACAGTGGAGGACTGTGGCCATCCAAAGCCAGAGATATACACATATACGCATATATCTGTGATCGGGAGTTTTCCTGGATGTTAGTATGTAATTTTTTTTCTAATTACGATAATTATAATTTTACATCACTTTTCTAAATTGATGGATCAGTGACCGCACGGGCATTCCTGACAAAAAGCTTGTGTTTGTGTGTACAGAAATGTACTATTCACCCTGCCTGTTAAATTTGATCTAATCATGTCCTGAAACACCCCTCCTCTCCTGCTTTCACTTCTCATACTGACGGAGGGAGCGATTCGTTTGTGAATGAATCCCCCGAACGACTCTTTCACTAACGTTAGCCGACAATAATACAAGTTTCTGGCAGTGCAGCATCTCGTTGTCATATTTCTTTTGCATTGTTTGCTGACTTTATTCAACAAAACTAGCATAAGCCGAGTGTTTAGTGCGAGTTCGAGCTGCTTTGCCGTATGGTGAATGCAGAAAGTGACTGTTATCATCAGTAACGTTACCTGATTAGCATAAAAGTTCAGAACATACAAAAACAGAAAAAAACTTAATATTACCTATGAAATTTTCTGCCTTTGGGCTTTGTTTTCTTTGTTTGGTCGTTACTACACCCGTAGACAGCGCTAAAGTCCCGCATCTTCACGTAATAACACTGTCTTGACTAGTGCGGTTGAATGACATTTGTCCTGGGAGCACTGTACCAATGTGGCGGCGCTATTGACGCATGCTCAGGGTCCCTATGCGATATCTAGTGTATCTATGCTTGTAACCGCTTGTACGTTATCTGGTAACTCTTATATTCCCATATCCTGTCTAAAGCCACGTTGAAAACGTGACACGTGCTGCTTTGTTTATGGATTTAAATGCATTTGTGAGCTCGCATTCCGCTGCCATTTGTCGTTGCTATGGCCCCGTCAGCTGTTCATACACATGTGCGGCGGTCAAGGTTCAAAATAGTTCAGCTTTTGCAAAAGTGTGGAATAATACTGAATGTGTGTCATGGTTAAGAATAGAGCAGTATGCTGGTGTTTAACTGCACTGCTTTAATGCACTCCTGCATTGGGCTCAAACACATTCCTACCACACATTTGTCCCTGAAAATCTGGGAGACCAGGGGTGTTAGGTTTAGGGGTGAGGTGCCTGAATAACACTGTTGAGAACCGGGTACTGTGTACTGTGGTGTTAGTAACTACTATGAATCGTGTTTCGGGCGGCCGCTGCAATCGGATCCTATACCAATACTGACGACCCAGGGAATTTACAGACAATACCAAAATGCTGAGGACCGGGGTGGTGGTTGAAATTACGAGAGTTTTTCAGGATAAATAACAAAACGGGAGGGTGTCGGGAGATGGGTGTGAAATACGAAGGACTCCCCGTAAAAACATGAGTGTTGGCAGGTATGCTCAAACATACACCATGCACTCTGACTACTTCAATATTGTTGATAAGCCTTGGTAGCCATTTCACTCTGTCTCGCGCTGAACGCTGTCTACCAATCGCAACAGGCTGCCATCGCTTCAATCGGCGCAGATAATCTTCGCACTAAGGAGGGGTTTGGGAACAAATTAATCGCTGTACGAATCTTATGGGAGTTGCTGGGATAATTAGGTAAAAATAAATGCATATTATAAGAAAATAAAAGTGTTTTTTGACTTTGCATGCATATCAGTCTGTTGTTGGAGACCAAAATATGACCCTTTTTAATGTATAATATGGGCTCTTTAATATAATAACAATGATAAGTAAAACCTTTTTTGTTTGGCAAACTGGAACAAAAATACACAGTAATTTTTTACACTATTTTCATTTATAGAACTACACTCTACTTCTACTATATTATATAATAATATATAATATAATGTTAAAATTTGCAGCCTAAAAACGTTAGAATTTTAGGTCACACTTTGCAGATTTATTTAGAGTTATTAATTGCTTAAAGGACTTTTCTCCTTAATTGCAGCTTTAAGATTTGTTTTGTTATTTTTAACTACAAAGACAAAGAGAGACAAAAAATATATATATATTGTACTTACAAAAGACAATGTCTCATATTCCATTGAAGCAACTGTTACTAGAACAGAACATGTGTCCTGCGGTGCAATTTTCATATTCTTAGCAAGTAAGTCATTAGCCAGACATCGATAGCTACCTTCACACCGGTCTGTCAACACTGTTTGACCAGAAAAAATGACAAACACATTGTAATCTTAATTACTATTATGTGAACGGTAACATTCTAACACACTACATAACACCACATAACTACGTAAAATTACATTAGAGAACATTCAGTAAAGCTGGAGAAATAGTTTACCAATCGGACTTGAACGCATGAGGAGCAACAAAGAGATCATGTGTTGAAGAAACATTTCAGTATCTACAAATACACACACAAAAGCTGTTCTTAAAATACATGTAAAAGTAGCAAATCTCCATAAACATTAAAGAAATTCAACAACTTTACCTTAACTAGTCAACTCGAAAAACAAAAAGTGAATTTCAGCTGTCACCTTTGTAGTTAATAAGATCAAGAATCAGTGGGCTTTTTAAATGCTGTGAGCTCTTTGAATTTTACGTCATATTTACGGTATTACTACAAACAAAACAGATCCAGTTCATATTATTTAATTTACTTTTGGAGATTTTAATGAGCTTCCATACGGGCTTCAAGACAATAAGAACAAAAGCAGTTTCCAGTCCAGTGTCAACAACCTTCAGGCCTTCGTTTGCCTCACAACCAAACCAAATAGCATGATAAAGGACGTACGGAACATTCAAATTATTATATATTGATATGATAACATCGTACAGTTGCCTCAAGACAGCTGTACAAACTCTGATGGTGATGACACTTTTGATGGCCAAAAAGGTGCCCTATGCGAAATTTTACTGTGGTGTCCCCACAGGGGAACAAAAGCACACAATTTATTTATGCTTAAATATTCATGGGGCAGCATGGTGCCCTACAGAAAAATCCGGCTTAAACCAGCCTAGGCTGGTTTAAGCTGGATTTTTCAGCAGGGTGGCGCAAGAAGGTCACTGGTCTTTTGCAGAAGCATTTCTAATTTTAAACATTTACAAAAGGGAAGGTATAAAACCCTCTCTGCACCTGTAAAGCA